TAAAGCATAATTGAGAAAAATACTCCTGCTTCCTTCCAGATAGCCTTTACATTTCAAAATACAATAGCTTTTATTTGTCATATTTATAAAAGCAAAGCAGAGCACGTTTAAAATACAATTCACAGAATACAAAGCATATAAGGAAGTTACAATCACCTATAATCTCACGACCCACTGTTAAATTTGGACAATTATACTTTCACAAGTATTTTGCCTGAACTCTTTGTCTCTCTCCCTCTGTCTCTCTCACACACAAACACACACACACACACTCACTTTTTGTCCATCTGTATTAACATAATACTCAATACACATCTGTTGGTGAATGAATACGGCTACTCACCCCCTAAAGGAAAAATCAAAGTTCATATAAGTGAAACAAAACTTTACAAAAGATGAGGAAAATGTTCTATTTGTATCTTATCTTTTTCTTAAAGGAACTATATCTTCTTAAATACGCTATAATAAAACAAATACGTACACACATGCTTTCAAAATAAGTCATATGACATGCATAAGTTTTTAATCTGTATTTTATTCAACTGTCTTATAGGCATCTATCAACATTAAGGAGCCCTGGTGATGCAGTGGTTAAAGCCCTTCGCTGTTAACTGAAAGGTCAGTAGTTCGAACCCACCAGCAGCTCCGTGGGAGGAAGATGTGGTAATCTGCTTCCGAACAGATTACAGCCTTGGAAACTTTATGGGGCAGTTCTGCTCCATCCTATAGGGTCACTATCAGTCCAAATCGACCCAACAAAAGTGGGTTTGGTTTTTTTTTTTTTCCACTGTTAATAAAAATAGACCCTCATTATCTGTTTCCTGGGTTCACAGCACTGAAATATACAAATGTACTATAATTTAAATAATTAATTCCACTATTGTCAAACATTTAGGTTGCTTTTATATATAATCTTGGTAGACAGAACTCAAAATTCAGCAAAGAAGTATTTTTATAAGCCCTTTACAGTAACAAATATGAATTTTGTTATACTTAGTTAATTCATGTAAAGACCCTACACTGTCTATTTTGAAAGTTAGCATACAGATGCCTTGAGAGGGAATTGGGACAGTGGAAAGAGCTAGGGATTCAGAGCTGGGTTTGAGTTAAAATTCAAGCTCCACCATTAACTAACTAATTTAGGCAAGTTCCATCCCTTCTCCAAGCTCACTTTCTTTGTTTGCAAAATAGAAATAATATTGTCTCCTTTTCAGG